TGGCATAACATTCAGTTTGGATACGTGGAGCCCGGGCGAGAACTACTTGAGGAGAGATGAGGCGAGTGGTGGGCAGTGGGTGTGGTATTGCATGAAGAACCATCTTATTGGGGCGGATATGGGTGCTGACATGACGGTGAGGGAGTTTTGCGCAAAGTTGTATCAGGAGTGCAGTATCTGTAGAGTGGATGAGGAGGGGGATACGACTGTGATTTGAGATGTTGCGCTGGGCTGGCCCTGGCGGTGTTTATGCGATGACTTCTTCATTGCATTGATAGCTCCGGCGTCTGTTTGTAGCTTTTTCCTGCGTATCGCATGCGCATGATTGTATTCTTAGCACTATTCTTATATAAGTACAGAGAAGCTGTTCTCAGCCTTTACTTCTTCTTCTTCTCCTCCATCATCTCCTTTGCAGGCAGTGTCGCATACCGCGCCATGACCTCGATGTTCTTCTCCTTCATCATCTTCTCATCCGTCTTACTTATCTCAGCCAAGGTCTTGAAGTAATCGATATAGAACGCGGGGGTATACGTGTTGAAGAACTTGGACTCTTCGTTTGTAGGGTTCGAGAAGGTGTGGGGTGCGCGGATGGGTACGGTAACGTAGTCGCCGACGTAGGCATCTTGTATGGCGCCGTCGGGTGCGTGGAACTGCGGAGACGGTTAGCTGTCTTATCTGCTGAATCAGGATGGAACGGGAGGAAAGATAGAGACGTACCCGAACCATTCCCTTAGTTACAAGGAACGTCTCGTCGTGCATCTCATGCCAGTGTGCTGGTGGTCCCGGTGTGTTTGGAGGCAGTGTAAACTCTGCGGAGCCTATGCGGTTGTCTGTTCGCGATCCATCTTCCATGACTCTGCAAGTGATTTGGCCTAGTTTGAGTATTTCGCCTTGCTTTGCGGAAACAAAGTTGATGGGTCGGCGTGGCATCTTCATGCTTGCCATTGCTTGTCGGGCTTCGTCGTCCATGGTGAGCTCGAAAGTGGAAATCTGGAGTGGTGAGGTAAAGTTGAGTGTCTCCCTCGCTCGTTTGTTAGGTAGAGGTGGGCTGAGATACGCCGAGAGTCTCTAGGTGAGTCATATAAATAAGTGCGTTGGATGAAGAGGCTCAAATGTAAGCGCTGGACTTTACTACTGCGGAGAGCCGGCGGATGCAACATGTATCCCCTACAGATTGCTCGGATGTCCGCGCCAATAGATGACTGCGGGAGAACATCGTTAAACTACAGGAAGACACCAGGTACCCACAAGGCAGTTTCATACGTAAAGTTTGTGAGATGATGCGTTGTCTGAACTTCGATGAGATGCTGCCACCGCGGGGATTGATTGATGCCCCGCCAGCCGCGCCTAACTCAGGGTTAGCGCGGGGCCTTTCCCTTTCTGGCGGGCCTGATCCTTCCCCACCTTTCTCCGCCTGTACGCCCTTCCACTTACCTGCAGCGTACCTGCATGGCTGCCTGTCACTGAATGTCGTTGTTACGCGTCTAATCGCTACCTAGGAAGCAGCATATTCATCAAGGCTAACATTTCCACGCCTGAAGTCTACTAAACACCAGCAGTCAGCTCAACCCAACCCCCAGCATCTCTGAACAACCACAACTCCCTTCAAAATGTCGCAAGAGATTCCGCAGAAGATGCCGAAGAAGATGTGGAACGTCCTTGAGAACAACCCAGAGGTCATGAACCACCTGGCTCAAGACCTCGGTCTGGACACGACAGCGCTCTCTTTCTACGACATCTACTCACTCACTGACTCGGACATGCTGAGCTTCATCCCGCGACCAGCGGTAGCACTACTCGTCATCATTCCTCTAACACCGACCTGGGACGAGGCCCGAACAACAGAAGACAAGGACAAAACGGAGTACGAGGGTAAAGGCGACGCCGAGCCCGTCATATGGTTCAAGCAGACCATTGGAAACGCATGCGGCAGCATAGGCCTTGTGCACTGTCTGCTCAACAGCGACGCCGCACAGCACATCCAGCCCTCTTCAACACTATCCAAGATCCGCGAAGATGCGCTACCAAAGCCCATCTGGGAGCGCGCGAGAGTGCTCGAAGACTCCGACGCGTTCGAGAAGGCTCACGCAGACGCCGTGAAACTGGGAGATTCTGCACCACCTGCAGAGATCGAGGAGGCGCATACCGGTCAGCATTTTGTGGCTTTCGTCAAGGCGAAAGATGGGCATCTGTGGGAACTTGAAGGCGGTCGCATGGGTCCGCTTGATCGGGGGGTGTTGGGGGAGGACGAGGATGTGCTTAGTCCGGCTGCGTTGGAGAAGGGTATCGGGCGTTTGATGAGGATTGAGTCTGAGAAAGGGGGAGACCTGAGGTTCTCTGCGATTGCGCTGGCTTCGGCGATGAAGTGAGGGTGTCGCATCTGGTCCATCTGGTACGCCAATTGTCCTCCGCATGTGAGTTCTTGCTTCACACCACTGCAACACATCTCACAACCAAGGCATTTATGCTCTTTCAATCACACGTCTTACATTCGCATGTTCCTTATGCAAAGATATACCTTGTATTGTGTATTCCCCTTCCCCATCTACTAAAAGCCTGAGCGTACTCAGTCTTCGTACCCCGCTTCACTTATGAACGGACTCTTCCCACGAATGCTCTTCCCAAACCTCAACAGAATCAACGGAATGAAACTCAACGCCAACGCGATAAACCCCAACAAACTACTCGCCCAATTAAATCCCAACGTACGATACATACTCTGCGTCGCAAGCGGCAAGAAAGCCGCCATAAAGTTCTCCAGAAACGCAATGCCCGCGATAGCACTCGCAGCATACTTCGCATACGCATCAACCACATACGTCGTCACTCCCGCTGTACTGCAGAACATACCGAAGCCCACGAAAGCGAGCGATATACTGGGTACAATCCACGGTATGTAAGAGTAGGACGTCCATGCGAAGTAGAACAGTCCACCACTCAGACCGATGAACGAAGCTGGGATGCTGAGATAGAGTCGCGCTTCTGGGATCGGCTGCCCTGGGGTTTCAGTGTTGCGTCTCGCGGATGCGAAGTAGACGCGGTCTTGGATTAGGGATGCGATGAGGCCGATGAGCTCTCCGATTACGACGGCGGATTGCACGAGGCCTGTGCCGAAGAAAGTCCAGCCGTACAGCTCTGAGAAGACCTGCACGATGGATTGCGTGAACATGAAGGCTGTGCCGATGCAGAAAGCGCTCCACATTCCAAATGAAAGGACTACACCTTCGGTACACAGCATACGCGTTGGTCGGACGAGCGTCTCTTTGAGAATTTCGCCAAAACTCGTGTGCTCTTTCTCAGCCTGGGCATATACCTCTTTGCCCGTCTTCGCGCGAACATGACGCGCACGCTGAGTGAGGATGACATCCGGTCGAACTTCAGGAAGGAGAAAGAACAGTACCGGCATCAGAGCGCTGTAGAAGATGATTTGACTCAGGAAGATCCTATATCCAGATTAGCTAGAGTCCCAAACAACAACCAGAGCATGTCTTACCATCGCCAAGTCGTATACTGAACAACCAAACTACCAAACACCGGCCCCATATTAAGCCCCGCAAGCAATGCGAAGATATAAAGCGACGTCCCGAAACTCTTCGCCCTCCCATCCCTCCAGATATCGCTTACAATCCCCGACGTGATATTCGCAAGTACGCCCGAGCACGAACCCGTAATAATCCTCGTTACAATTAGGGTCGCAAAGTTCTTGGCCAGCGCTTGCGGAATGATAAAGATGATCAATACCGCGTAGATGGCCATATAACTCCACCGCACACCAAAGTTCTCCATTAGGGGCAGTCCTAGTAATGGTGCTGCGGCTCCTCCTAGGTTCCAGCTTAACACCGGCCAGTATGAGTATGGAAATGCTTCATCGCTGACGTTGAAGCTGGTGTTGATTTGCTCGGCCGCGGATGTGAGCATTGTTCCTGAGACTTGGACGACGAAGGTCATGGTGCAGGCTAGGAGCGTGGTCCGCCATTTCTTCGACGGAGAGAAGTTGAAGGGGTTGGATGGGTCTGTTGGTGAGGTCCAGGTGATGAATGTAGGATCGGACTTCGAGGTGGGCGATGGTGTAGATGCTCCTGACATATCCTGGTTCGATCGATTATCTCGCTTTTCCTCAATCGTTTGCGAGCTTAGACTGGTCGAAGATGTCGAAGTCGGTGTTGGAGAAGCCATGATGGAGTAGAGGCCACGGCTAAGACGGACCTAGCGTTGCCGGGTCTGGCTTATAAGTCGGGTTGTTGGAGGCGAGGGTGCGACTAAGCAGCAGTCACCCAATGCTTACACACACCTTCACACCCTTCCCAATCTAGTCACAGGTAGTACGCTATTGTAGCTCGAGTGCGACTCATGTAACCAGACGTGTAGATGCAGCTATCCGCAGCGGCACGCGCCTTTTGCCGTGAAATTGCCTTCACTTCCTGTCACAGTAGTCCCAAACGCCAGTACGTGTACGATCAAGAAGAAGTCCTTGAGACACAAGCTTTCACAAGCACTAAACCCAAGAAACCGATGTTGTCTGGGAGCTTGGTAGTTGAGTGGAGTATGGAGACGAACAACAAGCTCGCCCCATTTTGCTCGGCGGTCACCATGGCAGGTGCAAACAAAAACCTGACTCTCGCTGACATCACGGTTCATAACATGCCTGACTAAGTTCACTGGATCGCTCGTGCAGCCTTGTTAACTATAACGTAACGAAAAGTAGAAGCGAGGCAAGCGCTGGCTTGGCGGACCGTAGGTCTAGCATTGTGGGGCGGGGGCATCTGAGATCGAGAAATCCTGGGATGGGGATTAGTGCACATGATGAATAAGGCTCTTTGGAAGGTTGCGAAGGTTTTGGCGATGGAGGATGGTGATGATAGAGAGGATGTGATGTAGGCGTTGAGCCGGGATGTAGCCGAAGATTTTGACGCTAAACTCTATTTGTTTATCCCGATTCTATCAACTTCTTATTCCGGTCTTCTTACACATACCTATAGATGTACCTCTGATCTGGCCGCTTATACATAGTCCTCCCTCGTTCCCTTCTCCGCACTTCTATAAATCGCCTCAATCATCTTATGCCTCACAACAGCCTCCTCCCAAGTCGTAACACTACCCTTGCCCTCTCCAGCCCATGCATCCCAAGCCCTACCCACATTGAACGAAGGGTCTTCAGCCTTCTCCACCTCAACATCTTTCAATCCCTCTTGGCCCAGGGCAATTTTGACTGTAGGCTGGAACATCTGCACATGTCCGTTCGGTCCTTCCAACACGAGCGTACCCTCGGATCCGATGATCTCCCAGTAAAAGTCCCGTCCGGTGCGTGAAAAACCTGGCGCATATGTCACGTCGACGTTACCGCCGCCGTTGATGAGTTCTGCGGTTATGGAGACGAAGTCGTGAGAGGTCTTCGCCTTCTTTTCTCCAAGGGGCTTGTAGTTCTCGTCTACAAGCTCGAGCTCGGGGTATCTGTTCGACAGCACAGCGGAAATGGAGCGTAGTTCGCTGGAAAAGACGTAGCATAGAGCGTCAACGGCGTGGCCGAAGGGGATAGTGAGGATGTTTGCGCCGTTTTCCACGGGGTGCATGTACGTGTAAGAGGGCATAGTTGTGCCACCGAATATCATGCCCTGTTGTTTTCTGCGTTAGCAAGCTTGTTCATCCCATAGACCATATGCTTTCCATTCAGTTTCAGAATGATAGACATGAGAACTCACATGGCCGAACATCGTCGTCCCCAAAATCTTGCCCAGCTTCCCCGACTCAACAATCTCCTTCGCTTTCAGAATTGATGGGTTCTGGCGTGCTTGCAAGCCCACCATGGTCCTGACACCCTTTTCTTTAGCCAAGGCCGTCAATTCTTCTGCTTCTTTCTCGTTGCGAGCCAAAGGCCATTCGCAAAAAACATCTTTTCCCGCTTCCAAAGCCGGACGGATGAGATCATAGTGTTGGGGCACGTTGACGCTAACAGCAATGATGTCTACGTTGGGATCCTGGGCGACTGAGCTGGGAGAGTCGTGGGTGGATACGGAGTCTAGAGAGTACTGTTTGGCGGAAGCCTGAGCTGAAGTGAGAGAGCTGTTCTGAAGGGCGGTGATAGCATAGTGCGGAGAGCGTTGGAGGTAGGGAAGATGGGACTTCGATGCCCAGGATCTGGTGTTGTGTCAACTACCGATGCTCATCAGTTCAGGAACAATGCAGTTATACCCTTTAGCAGACAGGCCAATAAGGCCGATGCGCTTTTGTGAGGTGGCCATGATAGGTCAGTACGGTACGCGACTTTGAAGGATTTGGGTTGTCAGCACGATGAACGGTGAGCAATCAGATGCTTACTCAAAACAGCGAATTCGTATCCGTTTCATATATCAAATAGCGGAATAACTTTGCATTCCGCCATTTCCGCAACCTTGCATCCAAAGCGGGTACGGCCGGTTGATGTCGCGTCATTGTCGCGTGGTACGCATGACGCCATTCGCAGCTCCCCCGCTTTTCGTCCGGACGCGCTTGACATCTGATATCTCGTTTGTCTACCATCTCGCAAAATGCATGTCCGTGAATCTGGCATCACGCAGAGAATGACATTGAATGTTCTCGTCATGATTCCTACTGACACAGTATATCCATATTGTACAACTCAGGCGTGTAGTTCAGGCGTCAGGTACAACTCGGAGGCAGCGACTCGCGTCGTATGTGTGAACCGTATATCCAACCATCTCCATGAAGCTCTCCTATGATGTCTGATCCATCTCCTCATCTTCATCTTCACCGTAACCGTCCTCGTCATCGCCGTCATTACCATCCTCATCCCACCTCTCAGGGTAACATCCATACAGTCGCGCATGCTCATAGTCTTCGTCCGCAATGCGCGCATGCTCCTGTCCACGAGTATAAGCTTCGTTCACGAAATACGGCCGCGAAGTCGCCAGGCCAAGAGAAGGCTCAGAGCCCACAGCAAGACGACTCAACGCCGCCGCACTGTTCGGGACGAAAGGTTCAGCCGATGGAGATAGCGCACTTGAAGCCGACGTCCCAAAACCATACGGATTTTCCGTAGCTTGGAAGTCGCCGGTATTACCAAACGTGCCCGCCACCTCTTGTCCCGTGAACGACATTCCAATCTCATTCTGCACCAGTCTCTTCGTACTCCATCCGTTCGCCCGAGATAGATCTGTATAATACTTCTCGTTTTGGCACTGCTCGCAGAAGTACGTTCCGTGTCTAGCTTTCAACTTGCCAATTCTATCGAGACAGTCCTTGTGGTACCAGCGCACTCTGCAATCCTTGTTCATACACTGTGTGATCTGGACCTCGTTAGTGCGAGCGGGTTTGCGGCAAGAGCAGATTAGGTCGGTTTTGGCGGGAAGATGCTGGAGGTGGGTTTCGAAGGCTTCTTTGGTGACCCCAAATGGGACGGTATTATCGGCGGCTGGGTCGCGTTTGCGGTACATGGGCGCCCTTGGTGAGTGTTTCTTGCCTGCGGGCTTTGTCGGAGGGCTTGGCGTTTTCTTGTTCGACGCTGTTTTGCCCTTCACAGGCGTATACTCGCCGCCCGGTCCGAATGGGTCATATTCCTGTTCTGATATGTCGGACGGTACATCGCTCAGGTCCGTATCGTTGCCATCAACGTTCTTGGTCTTGACCGTGCGTTGAGGTGTCGACGGGCCCTCGGGATTGATCACCGTAAAGAAGTTGCGGATGTCGGTGCCCTTCGCTCTGGCCATGTTTTCTCGCCGTACGCGGTGATCGGTGAAGAAGCCGCGGACAGCGTTAGTATCGATATCGCGACCGAACCTGCGACTACCACTGCCGAAATCCGGGATACTGTCTGGTAGCAGTGTCTTGCTGCCGAGCTTTTCGTAATCTTCGTGTTGTACAGACTCAGGATCTCGATGGACGTAGATGCGCGTCTTTGGGTTATCAGGAGTCAGCGGCGGAGTGTTGTAAGGGAAGCCCAAGGATGGGAGTGGGGAGTAGACACAGTTGAAACTAGTTGAATCCAGCGGAGTTGTGAAAGAGCGTGGAGAGCACTGTGGAGAAAGCGGTTCACCAGCGCTCCTTGTGTTCCCAACGAAGAGAACATTGTACGCACTTGTCCATGAGGCCTCGCGATCCTTGAGCGTAGGGAAGATGCCGAGACTGTGATAGGACGTGTAATCAACGGGCTCTGTATGTGGAATTTCGTATGGGGCGCCATCGAGATATAGCGAGCCAGTAGTTGAGCAGGCCAGCCCTTCAGCGCTCCAATCGTCCCTCAAGTCGCCACCCTCCCTCAGATCGTACAAATCTTCCTTCGATGTAGGGCGCCGAATAGGCCGTATTAGGGAATGGAAGTGTCCAGCTCCTTGAGATTGACCGACAGGCCCCTTGTAGACAAAGTCAGTAGATGCTTTCATTCATGCGACAAGATTGTCATGGTATGGGAATGTCGGTCGTAACATACATATACAAAATGTTCGACGAGACGCACCTCCGCATGTCTGTCAACAAGTTCTCCGATGCAGCCCAGACAGTAGGTGGGTAGCTGCTGAGGCACCAGCTTCCTAACCACCTGCGTCCACAACGGATCCTTCATCCGTGGTCCACTACGGCGAAATGGGAAGATCCTACCGGCAGCTACAATGATGTCTGAGGCCGGCTCAACAGTTCCCCAGTCAAGTAGCGGCTCGAGTGTGACGACACGGGAGGATTGAACTTGTCCAGTGACCTTTCTCTCTGTAGTAGGACAGGAGGGGTTGCCGCAGGGTTTCTTGGAATCGTCATTGAGGATGAAGATGACGTCGCACATTGTTTGATATCGTGTTCCGGATCCTCTTCCTTCGAGGACCTGTGAGACAACCTCTGCATGCTCAGCGAGAACCTGATCATAGCTCCAGCGAAAGCTTTGGGCAGCACTCTTAAACCTCAAAGACTGATGGCCTGGCTTTGCAACGCGAGAGGGCTTCTTCCAGAGCGTCGTTTGCAGCTTGAGATATTGCTCGACGCTATCGTCTAGCGTAGGCGTTGTTATGCCCCGATCCTGAAGGAATTGGACGAATGCTTCACTGGCTTTCTTGCCGATCTTAGGGAAAAGGTAATGGACGCTCCATTGATCATCTTGATTGGTGTAAAAACCGTCGAAGGACCAGTCGTGAGAGCGCTCGCCTGACGAAGCCATGTCGCGCACTGGGGTCTATGCTGTTAGCATAGGCTGAACTTATCCACAAGTTGGGGGCATCGGTCGGACTGTCGCGTGTCTGGACGGGGAAGGTAGCGCGTGCGGGAGGTCGCTCTCGTGCGAAGGGTCTCATGCGAAGGGTCTCATGCGAAGGGGACGGTTGCAGTGCCAAGGCCTGACAGACTCAGCCTGTCGCACAACGAGAGGTGACAGGAGACGCTCGTACCAATTTTGAAGACTTTTTCGACCGTTTGGCATGCTCCGAGTGGGCGCTCAGTGTGAGAAGAACGGTAGCGAATTGGCATCCATCGGAACGCGTGTGGAGCGGAGCACGTCAAACGAACCGAAAGTACCACGCGCGGTGAAAACACACGTTTTGAAGTGAACGTGAAAAGAGAAGAAAACATGTACAAAACCACGCACCGCACTTAGCGAACCCGCATACCTTTGGGGTTTATGCATTGATACGACCATACGCTCACATGGTATGGTCCAGGGACATGGCTAAGCTGTGAGGATATTGGTAGAAACGCAAGCGCCTTTGCTGTCAATATGGCCAGGTGTTAGACGTGCTTGCAACTCTCACTGGATTTTGGACGTCAATGTTGATGATGAAGGTACCCCACGAGAGCATGTGTGCTCGTGTTCGGGGTTCCTCCATTTGCGATATCTTCCGTTTATAGAATGGCATTGATCTCGTTGCCGCTCACCATGCCCTCTACAGTCGCCTTCAATATCTCACCAAGGTTCTTGATCGACGTTGTCGAAAACCATGCCACATGCGGACTCAGGGTGATGTTGAGGTCCTTTACGTCTTCCTCCAGCAGTGGGGTATCTGCAGGTCCACCAAGTGGTTCCACCTGGTATACGTCGGTCGCATAGCCGGCTATGCGCCTCTGCTTCAGGGCCTGCACTACAGCAGCTTCGTGTACTATGCCGCCTCTCGCGACGTTGATTATGACGGTATACGGATGCATCTTCTCGAGCTCGGGAGTAGAGATGAGGTTGAGCGTCTCGGGGGTTCGCGGTAGAGCTAGGACGAGGACTGTGGAGTTGCGGAGCACATCGTCAAAGGGTATGCGGTCGTCAGAGGCGTCAGGGGCTGGGAGCCCGGTGTCTACGGGGGGCGTCGCTGGTGTCTTTCGACTCGCGATAAGTACGCGCATGCCCAATGCTTGCCCTAGCGCAGCTATTCGCTTGCCTATCACGCCGTGTCAGCGCAGGACTTCTCATCCTGATTAGGATATGAAGACCTACCGATGCCCCCATAGCCGATAACGCCCATAACCTCATCTTTGCAGGTCATCGGAGGCATGCCGTCCGGCAGGCGCATGTGGTCCTTCACGCTACCCGCCGTCTTCCATTCGCTGGGGTGCGCACGAGTGATGCGATCCAGCAAGACGGTGCGCCTTCTGGATGCGAAGTACAGACTTATGGCATGTTCCGAAACCGCGTCGAGGTTTGCCCCCGGGCAGTTTGTAACGCGAATATTGCGGGCCCGGCAGGCGTCCAGGTCCACAGGGTCTGTTCCGGTCGCGGATATGGCAATATAGCGGAGGTTCGGAGTAACACTGGGGCGCAATGTTTCGGCATCAAGCTTAATGGTGGTAGTAATTATTATCGTTGCATCGTGGATGCGCGAGTGGAGCTCTTCACGAGTCGAGGTGGTCTTGTACGCTGTCAGGTTGTGGGTGGTGGAGGCTGCGAAGGTAAATCCGTGGATGGGGAGGGGCTGCTGATGCTCCTCAAGGGCTACAATCTCGTGATGCATGGCGACACAGTTACACAGCATTCGGCGCAAGGCTGGCGCTGCTCCAGACGCCCATTATCGCCATTTTATGCTGGCCATGGAACGCCTCATACTGCCAAGTTTGGGCACCTGGGTCCGCTACTGCCGCATGCGACATGTTAGGGCGCGTCGTCAACGGAAGGAGCGAAGGAGCGAGGGGAAGGCGCTGGGCAGTTGCAGCATCAAAAGCCGACTCCACTCTGGCATGCCGACACTGACATCTCCATTCACCCCTATCTCGATATCTGGGCTGGCTCCGCAAACGCCTCCCATGTGTTTTCCAGCGCGTTATGCACACGCGACCAGCGCCCCGGACTCTACCCACGAATATGGATCGTGTGCCGAGATGGACGCCCGCTACGACGCCAATCTCGAGCCATCGGCGACCCCCATTGGCGCGCAAGCCATCGTCTGGCAATGGAAGTAACATCACCCCACGCGTTCACTGCGATTGCCCTGCAAACTCTGCAACAGCCGAGTGAGGCTCAGCAACGTGCGCACCTCCAAAGACCACGTCAGGGTCCTTTCATCGCCGGCTGCTCGTCGGCACACGGCGGCTCAGCTTCTGGCCCACTTCTAGAAAAAACCTCAACACCTAGGCGACGGAACGCGGATGCATTAGACTGTAGTTCCCACTCAGTCGGTGATTTTCTCGGCGCAGTAAAACAGCCCTATCCGGCCACCCTCCACCAGCAATTGGCCCGCCAAGCTCCGCGTCTGTTGCCATCTGAAATTCGGGTGGGTAGTCTAAGGCGACTTGTCTACATGCTGGCTAGCGGGCCTGGACCATGCGCCGACTGACGTGCCTCTGCAGCCCTTCAAAGCCTGCGCTGATCCGCCGCTGGGGACATGTCCCAGAGCTTTGCTTTGCGACAACTCCCCAACTCTCCTTCTCTCTCAGGCCCCCAGACCCAGGACCAAAGCGACACGCCCCTCATGTCCGACTACAGGTACGGCACGCAGTCAGATGCGTATGCTGCTGAGCACGACCACTCTCTGCGCAACGGCGCGCCCGAGAAAGAGACCAAGCTGGGCAACACCTACTCTGGATCCGGAGACGATGTCGTTCCCGCCGATGCCGACAACCTTCTGGCTGCCATGGGCTACAAGTCGGAACTGATTCGATCAAGATCCACTCTCCAGGTGGCCTTCATGTCCTTTGTCCTGGCTTCCGTCCCTTATGGCTTGGCTACCACCCTCTACTACCCTGTAGTTGGCGGAGGTCCCACCAACATCATCTGGGGATGGCTCGCCGTATCGCTTATCATTCTCGCAGTCGCCGCATCCCTTGGTGAGATCACCAGTGTCTACCCGACCAGTGGTGGTGTCTACTACCAGACCTTCATGATCACGCCGCCCGCCTATCGGAAAATCGCTTCGTGGATCTGTGGCTGGTGTTTCGTAGTTGGCAACATTACCATTACTCTATCCGTCAACTTTGCTACCGCGCTGTTCCTTGTGGCATGCGTCAATGTCTACGAAAGCGAACCTGGTGTTGGTATCATGGCAGGATCACCCTACCAGGTCTTCCTCATCTTCCTTGGCATCACACTCCTTTGCAACGCCGTGTCTGCCTTTGGAAACAAATACCTACCATGGTTGGATGTGAGATTCCCCCCAAACGGCTACCGGATGTGTTACTTACAGATAACTAGACTTTTGCCATCTTCTGGACCTTTGCTGGTGTGATTGCCATTATCGTCTGCATCCTTGCCATTGCGAAAAATGGTCGCCACAGCGCCGAATACGTCTTCACTGAATTCGACCCCTCCAACTCCGGATGGATCCCAGGATGGTCTTTCATGGTCGGACTACTGCACGCAGCCTACGCGACTTCATCGACCGGAATGATCATCTCGTGAGCCTCCCCTACTCTGCCCAAGCAACTTGCAGCAGATTTTCCTTGCCCAATGCACTTTCCCAAGCGACTATCCCATGCGACATTTCCTAAGCGACATCCCAAGCAACACACTCCATCGCGACATTATACGTGTCTACAAGCGGTAACTCTTAACAACAATTGTCCAAACGCTAACACATTCGTAGCATGTGCGAAGAAGTTCGCGAACCTGCCACTCAGGTCCCCAAGGCCATGGTCGCGACCGTCGCGTTCAACACCGTTGCCGGCCTCGTCTTTCTTATCCCTCTCGTCTTCGTACTGCCCGACCAAGCCATGCTCGCAGGTCTTTTGTCCGGCCAGCCTACGCCTGTCATCATCAAGGAAGCCGTAGGGTCCTCCGCTGGTGCCATCGGACTTCTTGTTCCCCTCCTCGTCCTCGGTCTGCTTTGCGGTATCGGCTGCACGACAGCTGCGTCTCGCGCTACCTGGGCCTTCTCTCGTGACGGTGCCATTCCCGGCTACAAGCTGTGGAGGGTCGTCAACACCAACCTCGATGTCCCAGTCAACGCCATGATGCTCAGCATGGTGGTCCAGATCGCTCTCGGTCTCATCTACTTCGGTGCTGCCGCCGCTTTCAACGCCTTCTCCGGTGTTGGTGTCATTTGCTTGACATTGAGTTACGCTGCTCCTATCTTTGTCTCGCTCATGACTGGACGTAAGCAAGTCAAGGAAGGCCAGTTCCATCTCGGCATGCTCGGCACGTTCTGCAACGTCGTTGCCCTTGGTATGTTACATCTCTACTCCACTGTCGTCGCGCAATCGCTAACAACAAACAGCCTGGTCTGCCCTTGCAACCCCTCTGTTCTGCATGCCCACTTTCCGCGAAGTTACGCCTGCGTCCATGAACTACGCTTCCGTCGTCCTTGCCGCCGTCGTTGTCATCTCAACCATCTGGTACTTCGTCTGGGGAAAGAAGAACTACGAGGGCCCACCTACGCACGAGGATGCTGTCCTCGAGGCCAGGAGAGCCAGCATGGCTAGTCGCTAATCATGCTAGACCCTAGATAATACAAGAGGCGGAAAGATGAACGAGCCGTCTCCTGACTCGCTATCCACACCTAAAGCGAACATTGACCCACATGTATATTTCCACAATAGCAAATTCGATACCCCAATTCATTCTTTGAGCATCCAAGTTTCAACTCCATCGTTGACTGTCTAGCCAAAGCGATCGCAAGACTGGGCTTTCACAAGCTTGACGTCAAGCTCCTCATCTCTAGAAGCAAAAAAAAGGCTTGACCATCGGACCCGCGGAAAAAACGGCACCATGCACGCGCCGCCTCCACAGGCCCATGTCCACGATGGTATGTCACTACCTCCACAAAGCCCACAAAGTCGCAAGCAGGCTCCATGTTCCATTTCCGCCCCCATCAGGCCCCGGCGCTGTATCTTCGGCCAATACCGGGACCATCTCAATATTGATTAGTGAACCCGACCCACACAGCGTTTTGAAGTTAGCGCAGCACAGCCGCGCAAAATTTTGATGGAACCGGTGCTCCGCTGGTGTGTTCAAGCGTGCCCGCTAGACAGTCCCGCTCCCCACTAATGCATGTGGTTCCAGTGACCTGGCATGGCGGGCTCTGGGACGGGCTGGACTGGATTGAACTGGACCCTCGTGCGGTTGGATGTTTGTATTCGCGCTAAGGTAAGGGCGTGACGTTATACGTTAGGATTCGAGATGGACATGGGAATGAATAGGAATAGAGGCGGAATGTATATAGATTGACAGGGTTTGTCACTGTGCAGAGTGAGTGAGTGAATCTCCATCTCCATGAAGATAATAGTAGGAATTCTGCGATTGTTCTAGATATACCGCCAACGACCCATCTCAACACCATCCACCCTCTCCATGATATCTCTCAACTTGGTTTCTGCGCTTGACTCAGCGAGTTCCTTTCGTACTTCCCCTACGCGCTCAGGATGGAGGATACAGACAGGACTGCCCACAGGCGTCAGGATTCTAGATCGCGCGATGAGATCCCTACGCATCAAGTAGGGGCGTCTAGGTCGTCGTGGTATGCGTGGAGGAGGATTCGCGATAAAAGGGTCGTCTAGGGAGGTAACGTCGGCGAAGTCGTGGAACATAGGAGGTGTCGTTACAGTATTCCACTTCCCTGCCTTCTCGTCCACTTCTTCTTCTTCTTCTTCTTCTTCCTCCCCATCATCCCTATCATCAACAACCCCATCAAACAACCTCCCCACCGGATTCCGATTCCGCACAAGAATACTCTTCCTCTTGCCTCCTTCCTTCTTGCCATTTCCCACCCCATGCCCATGCCCATGCCCAGCTCCATGCGGACTAAGACTATCCCCAAACTCAACATCTCCCCTTCTCCCGTGCCTGCCCCCATCAATACTCCCATTCCCATTCCCATTCCCATTCCCATGACCACCACTACCAACCGGACTCGACGTATCCCCTTCCACCGGCGTAGTACCAAACGTATCCCGCGAAACACTCGTTTTGATAGAGTCAGTAGCAATAGACTGTGTAATAATAGGTCGTTGGTGCACAATAGGCGAGTCTTCTCGTGGCGAGGGAAGCGATAAGTCGGCGTCGTAGTCGATCCACGGTGCGACTTCGCGGATGTTGATACCGGGGAAGGTGGTAGCTGAGGCGTGGGTGTGAGCGCTGCTGGCGTTTGAACCAGCAGGACTGGCATGTCTTCGTGGTTCGCCGCCTGCCGTGGATACATCGGCTTTGCTGTGTGTGTTTGTGCGGCTGGGTTTTGCGGAGACGAGAAGCGTGTTGCTTTTGCTCATGGTTGCGGCGGTGAGGGGGTCGGCTTCGGGGACGGATTTGGGCGATATGACGTCTTCTTTGTCGAGGACGTGGACGTGGGCTTCTTCGTCGAAGTGGAGGTGTTTGAATATGCCTTTGCGGGGTTCGATCGATGGGGGGTCTGTGGGGAGGGGTTGGGGGACTACGTGCGGTGTGACTGGTGGTGCTGTCTTGAGCGGGGTTGAGAAATCGCCTTTGTTGGCGCCTACGGGAAGTGTGCTGTGCGACTTGCGTTTACCGTCTCGGTTGACCTTGCGGAGACGCTTGTACTCGGCGTAGTCGTCGACTTCGGTCGCTGTGGGTCGCTTGGTGACTACCGCCATGGGCACTGAGTCGGTCCTCTCAAACAGGACGTCAAACAGGATATCGCCTTCTTTCCATTGCCCACCAGCAAGGTTACTGCTTTTGGCTTGCTTGATGGACCAGCCTCGGACGCTGTACAAGCCTTCGTATCTCACACCTGCTTTTGGTCCCCAGACGCTGTTGATGCTGTGGCTGCGAAGTACCCTCACAGGATCTCGACTCTTGGGTGTAGCAGAGGTAAGACGGAACTTACCCTTGTCGTTCTGCGGAACACGATAGGTAAAGCGTTCTTCAGACGAGGCTTCAATCTCGCCCGTATCCTTGAGTAGAAGAGCATATGCACCGTGTTTGTCGTATGTCGTACCGCCATCGCAAGCTTCAAGCCCGATGATGCCAGCATGGTGTGCAAACAGCGGATTAATCCACCACCTACAACAAATATCAGTCCATCTGCTCGTCTCTCCAAGCAAACGTTTCATCAACTTACGTCCCAGCCACAAACCCCAAATCCCCCAATTTATGCGACCTCTTCGGATGAATCTTCTCGGGACAAGTCTCCGCCCAGCGCTTAAGCAACGCCTCCCTAGAATACTCATTCACACTAGCAATCCCCTCCAACCTGCCCCCCCTCCCATATAAAAACGGATGAATCTCGCTAAACGGCCCAAACTTCGTCGTCCAGCTATCTACAATCTTGTCGCAGTCGTCGCACAACCGACTCGGCCAACGTGTTGCCACGCCCGCAACGTCTTGGACGGCTTTGTGGATACCGGTTGCGCGGAGTACGGAGATGGTGATGTTTTGGGCGAGGCGGAGGGCGACGAGCGTTTCGTGCAGGGTTAGCACGTCGTCCGGGCGGAGGACGTCGGGGCCGTCGCGGGCGACGCGGAGGTCGAGTTCGTCGCGGATCCAGCGGGCTATTTGTTTGAGGCGGGGGCGGGAGAGGTCCGGGTGGACGGGGGGTGTGACGGGGAAGGTGGCGGCCGTGTGGGTTGTGGATATGGTTAGGGGGCTGGAGAGGCTGTCACGGAGGGCGGGTGTCATGGTGTTGGTGTTGATGTGTTTGGGGTGTCAAGATATGGAGTCGTGTTGCATTGAATAATGGTAAGGGTTTGGCGGAGAAGGAATAGGTACGGCCGGTGTATTGAATGGTGTAGTGAAAGGGTGGCTTTCGTACTGGTTCAAGGTCTGAGGGTCCTGGCATGAGCTGCCCTTTCCTCTGCCATGAGTGCTTGAACGCCTTCCCATTTCTTTCATATATCTCAGTGTTTGCGCTTCTTCTTTTTCCGCTTCTCAGTCCCTTCGGCTGCCGGTATCTCCACAGGCTTTACTGCCTCTTCAACCATCTCATCACCACTAAAACCATCCCATTCCTCATCTTCAACTTCAGCGATTGCGGTTTCCATGATTGGTGCCGAATGTGAACTGCCGTCCCGGACAAAGGCAGCAACGAAGAAACCCATTGTGCCTTCTTCCGTACCCTTATCACACCGAATGCACGCTTCCAGTACGTCACTCTTCAAAGATTCATCCACATCAATCTCCAGTTTCTCGTCCTCCCACACTCCGCGTCTATGCCACTTCTTCATCCCATCGACTTGCTGGTCTCTCTTGAGAATCGACCAGCCCCGTTCTTTTGCGATCGAAGAGGCCAATGCTTCGAAGACAACACCTTCGTTCTCTTCGAAATGTATGGAACATGTGGAGTACGTGATCTTGTGCGCGCTCTCGAATCGCATAGCATGATTGAGGATGTGGAGCTGGAAGGATGATAAAGCTGTCAGTCGCTCGGCTAGCTTGCCGTGCATTGGTGTCTCTTCAGGTGTTGATTCATCCATATCCAAGTCAAGCGTCGCTGAAAGGTCAGCTTCCTCAGGCGCGTCGTCTCTCTTCCGCTTCTTGCCTTTCTCAGGCTTTTGCGGTGCTGGGCGACTGTTTGGTGACTCTGGTAGATGCATCTTGATTGCATCGTCACGTCCAACTATGCCAGTACCGGAGCAACTGGGGTCGAGCAGTATAGCACCAACATTGGCATATTCGTCAGATCCAGGCTTCGCAGCGATAAAGTCGCTACTACCTTTGACCTGAACGATGCTGTCCGCTGATGCGAGCTTGACCATCTTCTGCAACGTGAAGGTTCTACCCTTGTCGCGCTCGAATGCAATGACCTTCTGTTCTTCACCCGGTCGCCTCCGGTCAGATACGATAGCTGCCAGATGTGTTGTCTTGTTGCCTGGTGCTGCTGTTGCGTCGATAACGTCGCCATCGTCAGGCTGCGGATCTAGCAGATAGGCAGGGAAGCACGAAGCCTTGTCTTGGAAGATGATCTGTCCCTTTGTATACGCGATTGACCTGCTCAGATCGATCTTAGAGGGTAAGGCGAGTAGGTTCGGTATGTTGGGGTCTTCGTAGTATATTTTCGACTTCTTAGGCGCAGAAAGCACTTCGCTCAAATTCTCAGTCTTGACAAAGCCGGCAAATGTGGTCGATAGCTGTTGCTGCAACGTCGTCTTGACGGTATTGATGCGCACCCAGCGAGGATGGCGGCTCTTGGGCGCATCACCCTCATCCTTCTCAAGCTCGCCATCATTAACAGCCTCCCTGAATGCCTCTATAGTCGCGTATCCGTATCGTATGCGGGCTTTCGTGAGCTCGGCGCTCAGACGGGCTTTGTGTCTCGTGATGGCGAGCTTGAGGACATGGTTGGCGGCTGCAGCAACACCGTTCTTCGCGAGCAGCAGATCGTGGGTAAGAAGGAGAGCGAGGATTGGCGTAAGCTGTTTAAAACACATTAACATCAGGATGCGACACAGAATATTGCTAGTAAACTACCCACCTTCCTCTCCTCTGCCAGCAATTTGGTCTTCTCAATCACATCCTTGAGCACAATGGACCATTTTGAC